CAGTGTGAGGCCCTCTGTTTAATCCCTAGAATCACTAAAAACAATTAAAAAAAAAAAAAAAAAAACAGGGGCTGGGGATTTAGCTCAGCGGCAAAGCGCCTGCCTGGCAAGCGCAAGGTCGTGAGTTCGGTTCCTGGTACCGGAGAAAAACCAAAAAAAAAAACAAAAAACAACAGATTAAAATCCCCTAATACTGCCATCAGCTTCATGGAAACAGGGTCATAAAAAACAATCTTAGTAACAAACATCCTTCGTTTTGTCCTGTGATGCTGGCTGCCAGGGTTGTCATTACAGATTGAGAAAGCCACTGCCTCAACCAGCCACAGGGGCACACTTGGAAAGGCAGCTGCCCCACAGAGATTCCGAAGCTGAGGGGTCAGAGAGAGGCCAGGAAATCTGTAATTTTGAAAACTCTCGCTAGGGGGAGCTGGTGCCCAGACGTTGGATGTGACCAGGGGGTACACGAGACAGGCCAGAGGTGTCAGAATTCTCAGGATGGCTCTGTGAGATGGCACGAGAAATGGGAGGCCAGGTTTATTAACCTAGCAGGCCCCCTGGGAAGAGTGGGTAACTGGCACTGCTTGAGGACACTGTTGGTTGTCTCAGGGAGCGCGCCTGCTACCACCTGGGTAGGGGCCAGGGTGCTGCTCAGCATCAGGACGCACAGGACAGCCCCAAGCCACAAAGCACTGTCTGACCCAACATGTCAGCAGTGGTCAGAAGGAGGAGCCCTGCGATCTAACTCTGCTTAGTAATGACTTGTGCAGTGCAAGCCCCCAAATCTGGCAGTACATGTGTGACTAATGACTCTAGCTCGTGGGTCACACTCGTGGCTCTTCCCAGGGCTCTTGCTCACCCAGGGGCAAAACCCTCATTGGTGTGTGTCCTCATTTCCCACCCTCCCTATCTGGGTGAGTTTGAGACAAACTGTCTTCGGACTCTCCACCCTCCATCTGTACCCACTAAGGGGTTCCCAGGAAGGTAGGAAAGGACACTAACCAAAGCTGAGAAAAAGGGCGGAGGGGTAAAGGCGAGGCAACCCCCATTATTTACACAGCATTTGGTCTGCCAGCCTCACTAGCTGGTGGGTGCAAACACTTGGTGAAGCAGCATGCACCATTCTAGAATTGCTACCATGGCAACCCTTTCAATGGGTCATTGTGGTAACTCTGGGAAACCTCCGTCTGGGACCAGGCAACGTTCTCTAACTGTGGGGACATTCCCTCTCTGTACAAACAGTCCTCTGACATCTGCACAACGAGTCCAAACCTGTCCTTGAGCCCTTTTGTAAGCTGAGCAGGTGATCATGTTTAGTTGCTCAAGACATCTGAGAATTCTAGAAGCCTCCATCCATCCACGCATGGGGGTGGGGCCTGCCCTGTGGGGCAGCATCTCAGATAACTGTGTTTACCCCTCCTGCCTGCAAGGCCCTCGGCCACCCCTGCAGCCTTGTCTGTCCTGAAGCCTACTCTGTCTGATGTTGGTATAGCTCCCAGATCTGTTCCTGCTTGCATGGAGTATTTTTTTTTTTTTGATCCTTTTAACTTTTTTGTGCCTTTCAATCTAAAGTGTGCCTCTTGTAGATAGCATATAGTTAGAACACAGGATTTTTCTTTTCTTTTTTTTTTATAGTGCCAGAGATCACACCCAGGGCCTCGTACATGTGAGGTGGGAGGCAAGAGCTCTGCTGCTAAGCTACAACCCCAGCCCAGTGGTGGTTTTGTCTGGTCTAGCTGTATATCCCAGGCTGGCCTTGAACTTGCAGTTCTTTAGGCCTCAGCCTCCTAAGTGTAGTTTTTAAAAAAATTAATTTGCCAATTTTTGCTTTTGTGTGGCAAAACGCACGTTATCAAAGCATATAATCCCATGGCATTTAGCACATGTAGAAAGTATGCAGCCATCACCACCAATCTAATGTCAAGCATTCCCTCCAGGGGAAATCCTGTCTCCATCAGCAGTCGCTCCCGTTCCTGTTTCGCAGAAACCACCACTCTACCTTCTACCTCTAAGGATTTCCTCTTCTAAACACTTCAGACAAAATCACAACCTCTGCCCTTTTATGTCCAGCTTCTTCCACTTGGCCTGATGACGCAGGGCTCCTCCCTGTGTCACTTTGCCCCTCTTGCCTGGCATTGGGCCTACCATGGCCAGACAGGGCTCCTCATCCTCCCCACAGACTCCAAGCTCTGTTCCTCAGGCCTCTAGGGCTGCCAATCCACCTGCCTCTCTGCTCAGGTGAAATCTCTGAATAATAACAGCAGTGAGCCCAGATCAGGCACTTAGAATACGTCCAACTGTGCTCGTACTTCCCACGCACTGTTTCATGTGAGCTCTGGATACAGCCCTACGAGCAGGAAAGCATCATCATTCCGTTACCGCACCCCACGCTATCCCCAGACTGACAAGAGGCAGGTCCTGTGCCTTGCTCAGATACCCATGCCACCCACCTGCCCAGAATGCCCAGGTTTCCACCAGCTCCCATTTTCTAATACCATAACCTCTCTGTGCTTCTGGTTCCTTACCTGAAAACTAGGGATAATAGCACCTGCCCCGCTGAGTTACTGCGAGGCTTACAGGAGCTAACAGATGCAAAGCACTAACTGGCACATGGTGAGCACTCAGTTTCCTGGAGAGGGAACAAGGAGAAAGGATAATAAAGAAATAAGGGGCCAGGCATGATGGCGCCCGCCTCTAATCCCAGCACTTGGGAGGCTGAGGCAGGAAGATCACCAAGAGCTGGAGGCCAGCCTGGGCTACACAGTGAGACCTGTCTCCAAAAAGAAAAAAATAAGAAATAGGGGTATGAAGCCTGAGAAAGTTGGGCTGCACAGAGAAAATGCTGACTCTGGACATCTTTTCTCACTTGCAGAAAAGAGGGCTCTGTCTGTTCTCTCTCACCTCCGCAAGCACCTACACCAAAGTGCACAGGTCAGACCTGGCAGTCCATGTGGTCCCTGCCTTCAGGGAACTTCCCCAGTTCAGGTTTTGCTCCTGAGGCTTGGCCAGGGGTCCTTGTAATACTTTGTAGGCATGACGCCACCACATGTGGATGAGAAGGCCCTTTCAGAGTTCCTGGAAACAGACTCAGAGTGAGACATTCACCTTCCATTGGACTCAACCTGGGCTGGTGATTTTTTAAAGACAGGTTCTCCTTGTATAGTTCAGTAGTTCAGGCTGGCCTTGAACTCACTATGTAGCCCAAGGTGGCCCCAAACTCAGTGATGCTCCTGCCTCAGCCTCCCAACTGCAGGAATTACAGAGGTGTGCCGCCATGCCTGACTGGTGACGATTCTTTCATTTTCACTGGCACGTGGCTTTTTAACCATCAAGAGCTCAGTCTGGGCCCCAGCCTATGGTGGAGGTTAGGTGTGAGGGTAGGATACTTTGGGAAGCTGCCCCACATGGGCCATCCCTCCCTCCTTGGACATCCAGCTACCAGACTGGTTGGACCCTAGGAGCCAGTTTCCCTGCTGGACCCAGCCCCAAACCGGGCCGCTGTACTTTCTCTCACTCTTGACTTACTGCCCAGCTTCTCCACGGGGAATCTCATCCTCCCTCTCCGCTCAAGCTTGCCCCCGACCTCATTTCCCCAGAGCAGGGCGATTCTCTCCCTGCTCAGTATTCACTTAGCCCTACCAGGTGCCCAGCAGCCTTTACTTCTCTCACCTCACACAGCAGCCAAGTGTTACTGAGATTTTCAGCTTATGGATAAGAAAGCAGGAGGCGAAGAGACTGCTTTGGTCAAGGCCACAAAGCTCAAAACGGGCAGCAGACAGGTTTTCACATAAATGCCCTCACCCTCCGCAGGGGGACATGCTGCTTCTCTCCACCTTTTGTATATTGTCAATAGTGCTTCTGTGGTCACTGTGTGCAGGTTTTTAGTTGCACAGCTGCCTTCAGTTCTTTGGAGTACACACCCAGAAGTGGAATGCTGGGTCATACGCCTAACCCTAACCCTTTGGGGAACTGCCAGAGTGTTTTCCACAGCAGCAGCACCATTTTCCATCCCCTCCAACAGTGTGTGAGAGTCCAGTTTCTCCACATCCTCACCAGTGATCATTATTTGCCCTTTCTTATTCATTCTAGACTACTATTTACTGAACACTAACTTTGCGCTAGCCAGGGAGACAAGGGACACAGGAGTCTACAGAAAAGCCTGAAGTGCCTGGATCCTACTCAACTCCCAGCTCCACCTGTCACTGGCTGCTGGACCATCAGCAAGGTAATGAGCATTTCTGAGTGTCAGTTTCTTCACCTATAAAATAGGAGTAATCTCCCTTCTCCTGTTCACATGGTTAGTTCTTGTGGGTCTTTATTCACTTGTTTTGTCTGTGTCCCTCTGCTAGTCAGTTCACCATGCCCACCTTGATAGCTCCTTCATGGGTAGGTCCTCAATTGATGTTTTTAATTGAAGTGATAGTCACATAACATACAATTAACCATTTTAAAGGAAGCAGTTCATCTGGGGATGCACCTCAGGGGTACAGTACTTGCCTAGCATGCACAAGGCCCTAGGTTTGATCCCCAGCCCTGTCCAAAAAGAGGAAGAAGAAGAAGGAGAAGGAGAAGGAGGAGAAGAAGGAGGAGGAGGAGGAGGAGGAGACAGAAAATGCAGCAGCATTTATTATGACAACTGCATGTCTATAACTTCTACCTAATTCCAAAGCACTTTCATACCCCCAAAAGGAAACCCCACACCCACTGATCAGCCACTCCTCACTCTTCCTTCCCCCAGGCCCTGGAAACCACCAATCCATTTTCTGTGTCTGTGATTCTGGGGATTTTGCATAAATGGCATCATACAATATATGGCCTTTAGTATCTACTTCTTTCCTCAATAAATGGGAAGGATGCAAGGCTGGAGTTTTGGCTCTGCCTGACTCCCAGGTCTGGCTGCATCCCTCTTCATTAACGGAATATCCCATCATAAGGGAACAGAGGACAAGAGGCTCAGGAGCAGAGCAAAGGGGCTGAGCGGCTCCTGCCGGCTGGAGGTGTACCTTTTCCATGGCTTCCTCATTGCCCTCCACCATCTTCCTCAGCTTCATCAGATGCCACAAGTACTCGATGGGTCGGGCGGTCCCCTGGCTGGCCTCCAGCAACTGGGTGGTGGAGGGCAGGTCCTGCAGGATGGCCAGTTGGTTTTCTATCTTGTCAATGCGGCTCACCACCTGGTCAAAGACGTTGCTGAGCCGCTTCATGGGACTAATGATGGGCTGGGCATCTCCTTCCCTGGGCATGACCACCACCTGTGAGGTCTGGAGGAAGTCCTCATCCCCTGAGAGGACCTTCTTGACATCAGTCATGTGGATGTGCTCCAGGATGCCCTGGAGCAGAAGATGCAGGGCCTTGAAGTTCACCATCCCGCACTGCGGTACGGCAACATTGACCAGCTCAGTGAATGTGAGCGAGAAGCTCATCTTGCTGGGGCGGTGGGTCAGTGGGGCTGAGGTTCTTGGGAAAAAGTGTTGGCTTCAGTGGTCCTGAATAGCTGCACAGAAGGGTCTTTAGAGGCTTTGGGGAGGCTGAGAGTTCTAGCAGTCAGTAGAAATGGCCTCTGTCCCGGCTAGGGCGCAGATCAGTTTCTGGTTGCTAGGATACTAGAGAACATGGTTAAGTGCACATGCTTCTGAGAGCCTGGAGAGGGGCGGGTGCTCCTGGGCAAGCTTCAGCCAGAGTAGGTGCTCAATTAATATTTGATGAATGTTTAAATAGTAAATGAGTCACCTCTTCATTCAAGACTTCTCATTATGTAAGGCTGACGGCTCTTTGAAGAAATACATAGGGGAAATGGCAAAGGCAGCTTGCCCCTTGAAGACTCTAGAATCAGGACAGAAGACAGATTTCTTTGGCGTCAGGAAGGCCTGAGCTTTAGGAAGAGAGTCTGAAGAACTACGCTGGTTTTTTTGGAGATGGTCAAACATATCTTCCTTATGGCGCTTCAGTTTCTGCATGGGAGAGCAAGGAAATAAGAAGGGTATCATCTGTCCTGAGTCCTGCATGTCCTTGTTCCTCCCTGGACCCTATTCTGCTTCCCATGTGAGGTGGGGCTCACTCAGATCCCAGTTCCCCTCAGCAATGTCTCAGTCCTGCTCTACAAGTTTTGAGGGCCATGAGCTGGTGGCTGCAGGGCCAAGGGGCTGCTAGGGCCCTGCCACTGTCAGGCCCTGCTTAGTTCGAGAACAGAACAGCAGCCTACTTGTGGCCCAGTCTCCTAGGGAAGCCTGCGGGGCTTCACACCTGGAGCCCAACTCCCAGCCCACTCGGCACTGACCTCGCGTTCTTGGCACACATAACATACGCTCATTCAAGATTTCATTCATGCAGGGCCAGTCTCACCTGGCTTGCCCATAAAAGAGCTGGAAAGCAGTGTTACACTCCCTCAGACATTCCCTCAAACTAACAAACAGGAATCCAGACCCTATCATCAGTCCTCCTGACATGAGACATTAGGCAGGGTTCTCCAGAAAGAAGGAACCAATTGGCTACACTGATATAGACATATGGGAGGGGATTTACTAGAGGAACTGTGTCGTACCATTATGGAGCTGTGAAGATCCATGGCAGACTGTCTGCCAGAGACCCTGGGATGCCAGTAGCACAGCTCAGGCCAAGTCCGAAGGCCTCAGAACTAGGAAAGCCAATGGGATAACTCTCAGTCTGAGGCCAAAGGCCTGAGAACCTGAGGGTGGGGAACACTCTGGGTGTTAAGGCCTGAAGTCCAAAGGAAGGGGAGTCTGGAGTTTTGGTGTCCACAGACAGGAAAAGAAGAATGTAACCCTGGTACTGGACATAGATGGGCACATGTGCTTTTTGTCTGTTTTTGTTATTTCTAGGCTCCTGGAAGATTGGATGGTGCCCACCCACATTGAGGGCAGGTCTTGCTGACCTAGTCTGCTCAGATTTACATGTTAATCTCTAGAAACACCCTCACGGGTGCTGCCTTGCCAGGTTTCTCAGTATTCTTTAATTCAGTCACATGGATACTGAAAATTAACCATCACACACTTTCATTAATACCTCTCAGTTCCCCACTGTGTTGTAAGATTTAAAAATTCAACCTTGGTAGTGTACTCCTGTAAACTCAGCACTTGGGAGGCTGAAGCAGGACTGCCACAGGTTCTAATCCATTCTTGGCTACACAGTGAGTTCAAATATGTGGGTACTGTGGTACACAGCTGTGATCCCAGCACTCAGGAGGCTGAGGCAGGAGGATTGCCATGAGTTCAAGGCCAGCCTGGGCTACATAGTGATTTCAAGGCCAGCTTGAACTACAAAGCAAGACCGTATCTTCAAAACAAAACTTCAAGTGTTGCCTCAATATCTTTGGACCACACAGGAGCCCTGAGTTCCCCTGTTCTTGACAGATATGCCCGCACGGCAATGGGAAAGGCCCTAGAAACCAACTAGTTCCTCTCCCAGCCAGTAAAGGTGTACCCCACCTGGTCTCACCTTGTGGGCTTCACCTTCCTGCCAGGTTTTAGAAATATTCAAACCAACCAATCACATCCTCCTGTGGGAACCAGGGACACCTAGCTCCTGTCACTTCAAAGCCTACTTCCTTTGGTTCAGCTGGTCCTCTCTGCTCCCCAGTACATTCTCTCCCCACTCTTCCCCACTGACCCCGCTAGCCCACAATGTCCTCGCCTGGGAAGTGAGTATATGTGACTAATATACCATGTCAATCATCCCTGATCAGTGCCACATTCGTGTCTGGTCACCTTGCCCTATTGAGACCAGGGACCCCTCCTTCCACAACAGGTGAGTAGAGGTGATCAGAACACTCTCAGGGTATGTATGCTGGATTATTCAGATGGGCCCGATTTCATTGCAACTGCGTGTAAAACAGTGAGGAAAAGAAAAAGAAAAGGTGGCTATGGAAGGACTGAGAGAGACTTGACACTGGCTGTGGAGGAAGAGGCCACAAGTCAAGAATCCTAGGGGCCTCTAGAAATTGGACAGGGTGAAAAAATAAACTCCTCTAGAGCCTCCAGAAGGAACCATCCCTGAAGACACCTTGGTTTTTAGCCCAGTCAGACCTTTGATCTATAGAACTATAAAATAAACCTGGTGGATGTGGCGGTATATATCTATAATCCCAGAATTCTGGGAGGTTGTGGCAGGAAGATCACAAGTTTGAGCCCAACCTGCGGGCAATTTAGCAAGACTCTGTCTCAAAATAAAAATAAAAAGAATTAAAAAGGGCCAGGCATGTAGCTCAGTGTGAAGGCTATGGGTTCAATCTCCAGTAAAACACACACACACCATACCACACCACACCACACCATACCACATACAGATAGTAACTCTCAGTTGTCTTGAGCCAGTAAATTTATGGTCATTTGTTACATCAGCAACAAGAACTAAGATGCAGGCCAGAGGTCTAGGTTCCAACAGCCAGTGCCAGGGTACTGGCCATGAAGCACCTATGCCAGATTCTCCAGCCCTCCTAGAAACAACGCTAGCTACTCAACTCTTCTCAGTAGATCTATTTTCAGAAGAATTGGCTTTTGTTGCTTATGACCATGAATTCCATCAGGTATGGTGAGGAAGGAGCATACCTGGCCCTGAGCCTCGCTCAACCTGGGCCACAGAACATTGTATTCCAAACAAGGCCTGCTTGGAGTTTCTAAATCATCTATAGTGCTTTCCTAACATTCTGGAGCAGGCAGGAGGATTAATTCATTGAGATCCCAGGAAGTCAGAGACACCATGAATGAGGAATATGTGCAAAGAAGCCTGACAATTAGCAGAACCATCTCAAGGGAAAGATCATGCGGCTTCAACCCTAAGATTATAGGGACTGGAAGGTCAAGGCCTTTGAAACTCACATCTTACCACCATGTGCCCCAGCTGACAGACACAGAGCTACGAGGTTTAGAGTTTACCTTACCTTGTTTCAGTCTTAGCTTTGCTCAATTTCTTTCTAGTTCCTCATTCCTTACTTTTGGAAAGGAAACGTTTGTTCTGTGTCATTACAGAGTATGTAAATTTTTTTTTTTTTGCAAGACTGTGATCCTTATGCATATAAGGCAAATGCTCTACCAATGAACTACAATCTTAAGTTTTTTTTGTTTTTTTTTTTTTTTTTTTTTTTTTTTTTTTTGTTTTTTTGGTACCAGGAATCAAACTCATGACCTCAGGCTTGCCAGGCAAGCTTTTTTTTGTTTTTTTGTTTTTTTGGTACCAGGAATCAAACTCATGACCTCAGGCTTGCCAGGCAAGCATTTAAGCCACTGAGCTATTGCCCCTGCGATGAACTACAGTTTTAACATTTTTTAAAAAAATTTTTTACAGGCGCTCACATAGGTTGTCTTGATTCTCAGAGAAGATTTAGGACTTTGAACCACGCTGGAACTGTTAAGACTTTGGTGACTCTCAGAGATGAACTAGGACATTTTACAAAATGAGGTACTCATGAGCCTTTTGGAGGCCAGAAGTAGAACAACATGGTTTAGATCTAAAATGTTCCCCAAAAGTTGCAGGTGTCCAAGGGTTGGGTTTTGGAAGATCATCAGATCTAACTTCATCTATGATCAATCCATGCAGGAGGTAATTTGATGGCTTTATTGGGAGGTGATGGAAACTTCGGAGGTTGGGCCTAGTTGAAGGGAAAGGGACACAGAAGCACGATCTTAGGGACTAATCTGATCCCTGGCCCTTTCTCTTGGACTTCCTTCCCTTCTCTATGCTTCCCAGCTGCCACGGGGTGGGCAGTTTTCCTTCTCCAAGCTCTTCCGTCATGATGCTCCTGCATCGCCACAGGCCTGAAAGCAATGGAGCCAGCTGAGCATGGACTGAAGGCTCAGAAACTGTGAGACAAAGTAAGTGTTTTATCCTGTAAGTTGATTCTGTCACATATTTTATAACAATGACAAAAACCTGACTGACACAGAAGGCTACAGGCTTTCAGTTCATTATCTCATATTGTTCTACTTGGGGTTCACTGAGAGTCTCGAATGTGTAGATTAATATATGTTTTAAAATAAATTTGGGAAGTTTTCAGTTATTTCTTTGTACATTTTTCTGTGATTCTTTCTTCCTCCTTTCCTTCTAGTACTCCCATTATGCATACGATGGTGCAACCAAAGATGTCCAGTTTCTCTGAGGCTCTGTTAATTTTAATTAATTTTATTTTCTCTCTGTTCTTTGGTTTGCATAATCCCTATTAATCTCGCTTCAAGTTTGCCAAATCTTTCTTCTACCACTTCAAATACCCTTGTTTTATAAATAATGAAATGAGAATTAGGAAATTTAAGCAACTTATTAGAGATCACACTTTGCAAATAAGTGACAGGACCAGAGCCTGGTGCAGGTGCACATGCCTGCAATCCCAGCTACTCGGAGGCTGATGCAGAGGGATTGCAAGTTTAAGGAGAGCCTGAGCAACACAGAAAGACCTCACTTAAAAGTAAAAAGGTAGGGACAGATCTTGAATCCAAGATCTCAGGTCTCACAATTCCAATGAGTTATGCAGTCATTCACTTACTACATAAATATGTACTGAAAAAAATAAAATCAGTGTGTACTGAATGTTGACTATGTGCCAGAAACTTTTAGGGGCTAGAGAAAATCAGACAAA